TGCCCATCAATAAAATTAATGATTCTTCTAAAACATATCCATTGTAAATGATAAATAAGGAAGTTATTTAATCCAAAAACAGTATCAAGTAATGCATAGCAAAAGGCTAACAAACATGCACTAGCCTGGACTGTTTCCTTATTTATTAATAGATAACTAGGCATTATGATGTGGCAACTGCTAGTTAAATACTTTTTTTCCTTGTCCGGAAATTTTCTGTTTTATTGTCAGACCAATGTCAAGCTTGGTTTATTTTTATATTTTCTATGTTCTGTTCAAACCCACTTCGAACTTGCTATGAATTACGGTGAGATATGTAATGTTTGACCTGTAAAGCCCAGATTCGCAAACACAACCTTTTTGGCAAAGTGTACAAGCAATTCTCAAAACAGTGTCTAGTTTTGTTTTAACCAGTCGGCACAAAGGATTCAAATGTAAGGAAAAACATTTGACAAGCTATGTTCAGTGTGAACAACAGAAAATGTATGTGTTTATATCTTTGTAAATAAAACTGTTTGATATACATGGTTTGATATATATTATGTATTTGCTTGTTATTCATTTATTTATTAATTGAATCATTTACTTATCCATCCATCAAAGTCTATATATGTATTTATTTATGTCTCTATGGATAGGTAGATATAATTTTATAATTGCTCTCTTCAAAATAAAAAATATATGTGCCAAAAATAGGTTACAGACCTATTCTTATATATAAATGTATATCTGGTATTGATTGATTTATTTGTATGACTACATTTATACATTTTCCTCATTTTTCATGATGTAACCAAGTATATAATATTTAGATAGATTAACTCCACAACTGCCACAATCTCAAAAATTTTTGTTTTCCCAGAGCGGAGGAGGGCCGCCAGGTGGTAGTGCTCCTCCGGGCTACGGTGCGCCTCCCATGGGGTTCAGGATGCCTCCCCCTGGCCCAGGACTACCCCCACGCATGCCACCCCCAGGCTTTATGCCCCCCAGTGCCCCTCCCGGCATGCCACCCCCAGCATTCAACGTTCCTCCCCCAGGTTTCATGGGATCCTTCGGTCAGCCTCCTTCAGGTACAGTGCTGGGGATGAAAGAAGGGAAGGGGCAGGGACTTTCATTTATGAATTTGTGTTTTTGACAGACACATTACACACTCACACATATATAAATATATATATGTACATTATATATATATATATATATATAGAGAGAGAGAGAGAGAGAGAGAGAGAGAGAGAGAGAGAGAGAGAGAGAGAGAGAGAGAGAGAGAGAGGAGAGAGGGGGGGGGGGGGGGGAGATAAACACCAACACTTAAAAAGAAAAATATAACATTCCAGATTTGCTGCTAGTTTTTCATCCTACACGGTAAAAGTTGAAGTGGATAAATCTATTTTGATGAGGAACTCTTGATGACTTTTAAACATTATAATTTTAATTCAGTTGCAGTTGTGGCTGTACTTCATTTTATCTATTTTTGTATATCACTGTATTTGTGTTTTGGTTCATATTTATATTTGCAAAGAAGATTTAGGAATAATGTATATTACATTTAAAAATCTATTTTCTAGTATTTCTACATATAAAAACATTTCATTTAGTATATCTACTTTTCTTTTTCCATAGTTGGTTTATAATTATACTACCCTTGCAGAATTTTCTTTCTTTCATCTCTATTTTAGTCATTTTCCCTCTCTTTCTCATGTTTATATTTTCTGTTTTTTCTTCCTTTTTTTCTGTTATTTCTTATTTCTCACTCTTATCCCCAAAGGAGCCAAGGACCTCTAAACACACTCCATCTCTCATTGTATCCCCTCCAGGTGATGGGAGCGGAGCAGTCATCTCCGCAGGCCCCCAGCTCAACACCCCCCCAACCAGCAACTCCCCAGCGGCAGCACAATCAGGCTCTCCGGCCACGACCCCTGGCCCCACCTCTAGCAATGCCTCCCCAGCCAACATCGCCATGCCAGGAGCTCCCTCGCCTGCCCTGCCAACAACAACACCAAGCACCCCTTCTACGACCAAGAGCGAGAGCAGGTATGGTTTCTTACAGGAAAATATTAGTTAATGATGACAGCCCATTGGTTTGTAGTAGTATTGGGTATGAAGATATTTTTTTTATGATCTAGGCTCTTGATGGCTTTATGTAGATTTGCATATATTGTGAATTGTGAGTTTTGGCCTGTTTTATTTGCCCGTTTTATCTTTCTTGGTATTATATTATTGACACTAAATTGGTTCATGTATATTGTGGATAATTTGAGTTAGTTCTATTCTTTTTCTGTTTCTCAAATTGAAGATAGAAGGATGGAAGACCAAGAATATTACATTAACAAATTGATAACTCCACCTAAAAGGAAATATGATACTAATTTCAAATCTGTGTTATGTCTTTACAGCAAAGAGAAGAAGAGTGTATGGACAGAGCACAAAGCACCAGACGGACGCATCTATTTTTACAACACAGTCACCCGTCAGTCTGTCTGGGACAAACCTGATGAATTGAAGACACCAGCTGAGGTATGGCATTTCTTACAGTACTTCTTGGTATGCATTTACATTGTTGTACCTTTATTTTGTATGTTTTGTATACATAGGCATTCATGCAAAGATTGTGGGCACAAGATATGTTGAATTTTTGTGAACATGTTTAGTTTTACATCTATAGAAATTGATTCTTAGAACTGGATTTATGGAAACTAGTTATCATAAGAAAAAGCATAATAAAGTATAGCAGCAAAATGATGATAATAGTGCATTGATTTTTTAAGTTGCATTTTCACATAATACACATACACTTGCAGCTGTTGCTTTCACAATGCCCTTGGAAAGAGTACAAGTCAGAGAGCGGCAAAACCTACTACCACAATGTTCACACCAAAGAGTCACGATGGACAGTGCCTAAGGAGCTGGAAGACTTGAAGGCCAAAATCGCTGCCGAGGAAAATGCGTGAGTGCCATGAGGAAAGTGCAATAATGTGGAATAAAGTTGATGACAAAGTGAATAATTTAATCATCTACAGCTTCACGATCTTATTTTAGAAGTTACTAATGGTTGAAACTAGGTTTGTAAAATTAGCCAAAGGTATGTTTTGCAATGGGTAATATTGATTGTGCATCATCAGGAGCAAAGCTGGAAGTACAGATGAGAAGAAGCCATCTTCTGCGCTAGACCAGGCCATGGCTGCAACTCTTGCTGCCATCCAGGTGCCAACAGCGGCCAAAGGTATGTTGCATCTTCCAAGAATCTCTTCTCCTCCAGCCTCTCCTTTTTTTTTTCTTTCATTGGTAACACAAAACTGCTACTTGTTTCTTTTGAATCAGCTTTTGAATCTGTCTTCAGATCTGAGGATAGATGTAGGGTGGTGGGATCATTAGTAGGGTTGGTGCTGTCATTTCAGTAAGATGTTTAGCATGTTTTTTGTTGTTTTTTTTTAATGCAGAGGATTGCACTTTTTCAGTTTAGTGTGAAGGAATTGTGTTTATTTTTTATTTATTTATTTTTTTTCCACAGGAAGAGTAAGGAAAGCCGTTTTGTTTGATATGTATAACTTTTCCTATATATGTCTGTAGTATTTTCTTAATGTTTATATATATATACACTGTATACATACACACATATACACATACATACATACACACATACATACATACACACATACATATATACACATATGCATACATACACACATACATACATACATACACTCATACATACATACATACATACATACATACATACATACATACATACATGCAT